TACTAAAATAGTAACTGTTTTTCTTGACTAAAATACGACTAAAGTGACTCAGACTTTTAGTCGACTAAAACTTGACTAAATAAAAACAGGAGGAAGGTGACTAAATATGACTAAAACTAAATTTTAAAAAATAGCTGCGAAATTAACACTAGTTCTGTAGTTGACACAAATTGAAGAGACTGATCACGTTTTGTTCTACGGACATTAACATACATCAGCAGTTACCCCACATTTTTGATAGTTGTATACGTGTTCTGAAAAACGATGGTTGTTTACAAGTGTGGCTGAATAGGACTACAGAGTTGTTCGAGGACGTTGTACGTCATTACGCTGAACAGGTCGTCATCAATCCCTGCACCCTGACGCAACCGTTGATTTAAAATCGCTCCTGTTGTCGTAAAGGTATACAGGCTGACGCCTTCCCGTTGGATTGAAAACGCTGCTGTGGGTTCGGTTATATGGGTCGGAACCGATCAACCTCATTTGGTCGTATTAGTTGGAGGACTTGTTGAACTAATACTAAAATCATCATAAGCCAGGGGATGTATAGCCTACTGTAGCTAACTTCTATAAGTTCCGCATGCGTGCACGCGCGACAGTGTGGCTCGTTTGAAGCTTATGTAACTGGTCAACTTAACACCTCCATAGATCAGCAAAGAATGATCGTTTTATAAGTCTCGCATTATTGAATAATGGTGTGGAATTCTTACAGTAAATGCTGGCACAGCTGCTTCATAGTATATAAAGGCCACTCACTGATCACTAATTAACTCCCTCCTGCTGAGGTACAAAGGTTACTATATAAAAAAGTGTGCACATTTATTGTAGTATCCTATCTATGTGGATATGTTTTAAGGAGGGGTGGACCTCACATCCTCTAGGGGGGTCCGGAGGCCCCTGGGAAGTTAAATGCATCAATCTTGTGCACTTTGAGGGCAAAATTAACAAAATCTATGGATACATCTGTCAACACCCATATGAGACTTAACTGTATACATTTAATTTAATGTCCAATAGTATGAATTGTAATGATTTCATCAGTGTTTACATTTATTCGATTTTTTAAAATAGATAGAATAATAATGTAGCGACCCTGTATAGGGTGCTGCTGTGTGGGTCACTCAAGCATCCCTCGTCTCTCTGCCAATCACAGAGCTGCACAGTAATGCTGGTCGGTGTGCGGGCCTGTGGTTGGGGGAGCAGAGGGGGAGGGCTGGAGAGTGTGTGACGTTGACCCTGCTGTGTTGTGCGTGAGTTAGTGAGTGGAGTGCTAGAGTGACGTTGAACCTGCGACCTGTAACCTGTGACCTATGAACCTGTATACTTCCAAAGGAGCTATTAAACCTAAGAACTTGAGGCCTGTTTCCGACTCCTATTGTGGAACATTACAATAATATAAAAGTGTGCCTTGGAAATGTTTGTTTCCATATGACCAAACCGTTTGAGACCCACTGAGATAACTTAGACAAAAGTTAACTGTGTAAACATTACATTACCTGAGCTGAAGTTATCAGAGCCTCTCAGCCTATCCGTTATCATGGCTAGCTAGCACCAGATGCTCCGATAGGCGATGGCTGCAGAAAGGAGCAATTTCCATAGACCCCCATGTTTTATTGATATTAGGTCTTAAAGTTTTTGTATAAATTAGGGCGTGGTCACATTGAGTGACGGCTCTGTGAAGTGACTGCTGCTGCTAGCTTCTTGTCTCTCTGCTACCTGCTCCATGAAGCTAGCTACAGGGACTCTGCCTGGTCAGTTCATCCAGGAAACACAACTTGAAGCCGGCCGTGGTCGTTTGCTCTTCATGCTTATATATCAGACTATTGTGACTCGGCCTGCAGTTAAAACAGACGGTGCATGAATGCGGTAAGTGAAATTTGAGAGCTTTATTTATATGTTAATGATTTTAATCAGCTACGTAATGAATGTTAAGGCTTGGGTTAGCGTGTAAGCGAGTGGTAACTCAGGGCTGCCAACATTTGAGTTCAGCTTGGAGTGAGATTTTTTTTTTGGTGAACCGAAAAAATAAACGTTCATGTGTACAGTGTTACAAATGTATTAACATGTACAGGATTTCCCATCTAATGTACCGGGCGCTACCAGTGGAATACGATACCCCATATTACAATGTACCCGCAATTTCGGTTTTGATCAAACAGATTAATAGTTTTTTAAGTGCAGAATATTCCCATTGGCTTATGGATTATTATTGGCTTATGGGAGGTCCGGGGGGCATGCTCCCCCAGGAAGATTTTTTTTTGTAATATTGAAGTTAAATGCATCAACCTGGTGCACTTTGAGAGCAAAATAAATTTATGGTAAACAGATTTTCTTTTTCTTTATGGATATTTTACAAATCACTCACCTTTTAAACTGTATTCTTGTTTCACTGTCATATAGTATTTCATAACTGTTTTTCATTTATTCTCATAAATGGTGACCAAAACATATGAGACCCACTGAGATAACTAGACTAAAGTATCTAAACAGAGTCCCTTACCTCACTGAGCTGTAGTTATCTCTCAGTCTGACAGGACAGAGCTCTCCCTCTCATTGTTTTAGAAACAGCTTTTAATATCCGTTAAGCTAACCAGATGCTAACAACAACAATGCAAATAGTGAGTTTGGTAGAAATATACTGTATAATAGTAAAGTTATTTAAGATGATGCCATATTTATTGAAGATTTTACATTATAAATATTCCCCACAATTATTCAAAAGCATATTCTTCAAAACTCTCTGCTGTAGTATGACCACCAGGAGACTATTGATGTGTGTGTAGTGAGTTTGGTAGTAATAAGCTGTATAATAGTGATTGAATATTATTGTATTCTCTTTTTTCGGAGTTGCACTTTGCAGACGGTCCCTGAGCACTCGTTTCTTCTCCGGCTGCAGATAGAGACCAATGTAATGTGTCCAGCTCGGAGGACGGCGTGTATTGGCTTTTTTTGATCAAAATGTGATTGTAGTTCGTTGTCAACCTTACCACGGTACTTAGGAGACGTCATTTGTGTCTGAATAACGTTTTCATGAGTTATTGATCCGTGAAATCAGAATCTTCCAACATCGTTCCAACTTTACTGAACTAAGCCTGAAGACCGTCTCATTTCGTAGACCGCTCGGTTTGCTGTTCCTTCACT